TGTAAAGGACCCCTTACAACGCTGTTGTTAATTCAAACTGTTGTTGAGCAAATGGTCATAACTCGAGGACTACCTGTAATGAGAAAGGGACGTTCATGTTACAGTACAGAAGAATAATTGGAAATATGTTCAAAGCTCAGATTAGACAAGGAAGTTGAAAGTGGAAAACTTGAGAAAGAAAATTTCAAAAATTAGGATAGCTTGACAGGTAACAAATCAGGGGACACAGCATTTCAAAACAAATACTTAAATCTCTCTCTCTCTCTCTCTCTCTCACACACACACACACACAAACACACATACACAGACCGCCTATGCAATTATAAGCTGTCTAAAGTGCCATTTTTTTCCAAAAATATCTCTTTGCTTTGGTACTGCATAAACAAACTAATGTCATCTTCCTTAAAGCAAAAAATGTCTCCATTTATAGCACTTGCATCTAGTTTTTATAAAATTATAATTATAAGATGTAAGTTCAGTTTTTAACTGTTATTGTTTGGTATTTATGGGTGACACTATGAGTTTAATTGGGTCATTATATTCCATATCTATAATTATTTTATGAGAGCTTGCATATTGTCTTATTAGTGCTAGAATTCTACTATAAATGTGATATAGAAATCAGGCAGCACATTACTAAACAAAATTATTTAAAGCAAGTTAAGTGTTTACTTTGTTTCAGTTCAACAAGCAGATTATTTCAAGAGCACATTATTTTGTATTATTTAGATGTCAGTATGGGCCTACAATCCTAGATTATTTTTCAGAAGAACCCAAAAGCAGTAATGGAACATCTGTCCCGTTATAAATTACATTATAAAACAAGTTTTCATTTTAAGAATTAATTTAGTGTTGCTACATTTTTCCCTATAGTTCTTTAGCAGTGAGTTTGCTTTTACTTGGTAGCACACATGAACCACATGGAGATCAAGCAAGTAGATCCTCAAACTCCAGAGCACCGATTAAGAGCACATCTATTAACCATAAAATTCTTACAGTTCTCTGCTTACTTTCCATGATGCTCATATCTTTCCTATTATGTCCAGCTTTCATTCCCATAGATACTGTATAGTGACATTTTGAAGCATTCAGTTATTATGTTACTTCTTTGACTGCAAGAAAAATTCAGTAGCTAAAAGAGGCAGAGCCTTTTTGTCATTCAAAATCCCTGAATTGCTATAATAGAAAACAAAATGGAATGGCTTCATTTGTGGATCACTATACCCTTCCTAGCATCAAAAGGAGAAACCTGTATAGAGCCTAGGTTAATCTAGAGGATATAAATCCCACTAGCTCTTGGTTGCTGGAAGTACGCCCCGGTACAGGCATACCGGAGCCATCCCGGAGCACCAGATACTGTTCCGGTACAGTGCTTTGGAGGGCCCACCCGCCCGCCCGCACTCCTTACCTGTGTTTTAAAGCTTCTGCGCTGCCACGCACATGCATGGTGCATACAGCACCTGCATGATGCTCCACGGAGCAGCTGGAGTGTCACGGAGCATCACAAAGGTGCTAGAATGCATACATGCACTGCCCATGTGTGTGCATCACTGCGCGCATCCATGAGGACACCGCCATCCCCATTCCAACCGTACCGGTTGGAACGGGATTTGAAACCCACCATTGTATCTGTCATATGTTTGCTCCTTTCCCCTTTATACTCTGGAGATCACTTGAAGTATTTCAATATCTCAAATAGGACAATGAGTAAAAATATTGTATTAAATAAATGACTTACTGGCTTAAAATAATTAAGTTTGCTTTGAATCAAGCATGACTCCTGGTGATTACAGTACAGTATATGTAATTTGCTTGGCAACCAAGTCTACATTCTTGATATTTCTAATAATCACCCATTCAAACACTAATCAGATCTAACCCTGCTTCACTTTTTAAAACCAGCCAAAGTTGGCTAGGTGCTGCTCAACTTCTGTTGACCAAATCTACACCATACACATTTCTTAGCAACAATATTGAAATAATTGCCCAGTGCCTCCTTTCAGGACAGGTTAGAATGCAGTACTGCAAGCTAACTCTGCCCACAGCCAGGAAATCAGTCCTGACAGCTGCAAGGAGGACTCAATCTTCTATCCTTCCGAACTTGGTAAAATGAAGACCCAGGTTGTTGGGGGAAATATGCTGTTGTTAACCACTCAGACGGTGTTGTAAAGCACTGTGGAATGGTATATTGATAGCAATAGCAATAGCAGTTAGACTTATATACCGCTTCATAGGGCTTTACTGTCCACCTGTTTTCCAAATCTGTGATTTTACATTACACTTTTCCTTTTCAGTAGCAAATGTGAAATTGAAAATTTTGTCTAAAATTTTGAGTAGCTAATTGCTATAGAATATGCTGAAGGATAATAGATCTAAAGGCAGAAATTAAAACATCATGACTTGCTATTTGGAAAGATGTTCCAATATACTTATACAATAGACGAGTATAAAATTTTAGAAAAATAAGCTTGGTCTCTGTTATGATTTTACTTTCAAACAAAATGATTTCTTTAAAGATGTTGTTTATTCTGAGAATTCTGCATCAATGCGAGAATTGGCAAAGGCGGAACATACTCAGCCTACTCATTGCCTGTATCAATTGTCAGAACAAGATGTCCCTATTCAAAGATATTTATAGGGCTTAAACACATGTCATTCAGAACATATAAATGCTTACTCTATGTGATAACATAAAGCAAGTACATTTAGTGTTTAGTCATTTCCTGATATGAAGAGTACCTTGTCCAACTTTCTATGTGAAAATAACAGTTGGCAGATAGCTAATTAAGAAATTGTTAATTCAATCACATTAAAAGGGGGTGGTGGATGTAGTTTAGAACACCTTGAGGAGAAACAACACTACAATGACAACCTAAGAGCTATTAATCTAAGTGGCAATGTAAGTCAGCCATAAGTAAGTCACTTGATACAGCAGAAAGGAGAAAAAGCAATGTGATACCATATTCAGAATGACAATAGTGTTTCGTTTTCAGTAATCTCTTGATAAATCCGAGTGATACTCCACACAGTCTTCTAAATTATAATTCAGCTAGCACAATAGGCATCAAACTAACTTCTCATTTTGGAATTCAGAGTGGGGGATAGAACATCCATTCAACACTATAGTAAAACACTAATTGACTGATTTATGAGAATGTTTATAAATATGTTTATAAATGCCTTAAACAGTGGGTTGGACTAGAAGACATCCAAGGTCCAACTATTTATTCTATTATTTGTCCCCTTCCTCCTTAAGCAAACTTGTTTGAAGAGCTTCAGAAATTCAAGTCTGGATAAGGTATTGCCAAGACATCCAAATTACCTTGACTGTTCAGTAGCCATACCTTAAGGCCCTAACAGCCACTTTGAAATGAGAAAGGAAATAGAGAGCTGCATTAGAAGCATAACAGAAGAAGAAAGGGGGATTGTTCTAAGTAATAACTGTTCTGGTTTGAAATTTAATAATTCATAAATAAGTGGTTGTTTCTTCACAAATGCATGGCATAACACAGGAGAAAAAAACATCAAGACCGGCTTCAGCAGTCCATCTGCATCTGAAAAACAAAGGTCACTATTTTGAAGACAGCAAAGTTCACATTCTGGATAGAGAGGACCTCTAGAATGAAAGGGGGGGGTCAAAAAGGCCATCTATGTTAAAACTGAACAACCCTCTCTCAACAGAGGGGGAGGCATACAACACCATCTATCTCCTGTCTACAACATAGTCCTTTCAGCACTCCAAGAAGGCTCCACATCCATTTGCACTGTGATTCAGGTGACTCTGTGGTTACTGATAAACCTCAGTGGCCTCAATGTCTCTCAGAGTGGTAATGACTGAAAATCTGCAAAGAATATAAATCCTTCCATTTCCCATCATTCAGTCAGAACTGAGAAAGCTTCTTGGATGAGAAGTAAAACATTTTCAAGGAAGAAACCAAGAAAGTTCATTTGCCCTTTGGAAAAGCATCTTTGGAGCAACCATCACCTGTTTGATCGAGAATCTCTATAGACATATCAAGAATGAGTTTGTGACAAATATACTAGGATCTTATGTAGCCTTTCATGCCAAAGTGTGTGCTCAAGTAAAAAGGAACCATGCCCTACCAGCATTTGCATACACATGACAAGGAGAAACTCTATGTACATCTGTCTGCATGTTGCTTCATGCTTCTGTTGTTTCAAATTAATAGACAATCACTTAGGTAGTGCAACTAGAAAGCACTCTCTTATTGCCTGCTCTCATGTACTGAATAGGAAGGTGTGTTCTGTAGCTGAAAACAGCTTCTCCACTGAAAAACATTTTTTGGGAGAAGACCTATAATTTCTAACTGATCTATGTCATGCTTGAGTTGACTGGCAGTTAAAAGATTCCAGTTTGGTCAGATCCCAGAATGATCTCCCAGCCATATACCGGTAACTATTATGTGTGAATGAAGTTTTGCATCCAGTTCTGATCATCACAATGCAAAAAAGGTGTTGAGACTGTGGAAAGAGTGCAGAGAAGAACAATAAAAATGATAGGGGGTCTGGAGGCTAAAACATATGAAGAACAGTTACAGGAATTGGATATGTCTAATCTAATGAAAAGAAGGACTAAGGTTAACATGATAGCACTGTTCCAATATCTGAGGAGCTCCTACAAAGATGAGCAGGTCAAACTATTCTCCAAAGCACCAAAAGGCACGATAAGAAACAATGGTTGGAAATTAACCGAGGAGAGAAGCAACCTAGAACTAAGTAATGGTGAGAGCAATCAACCAATGGAATAGCTTGCCTTCAGAAGTTGAGGATGTTCCATCCCTGGAGGCTTTCAAAAAAAAAAAAAAAGACTGGACAATCATTTGTCTGAAATGGTACAAGGACTCCTGATCCAGCAGGGGATTGGACTAAAAGACCTCGGAGGTCCCTTCCAACTCTTATTATTCTAAGTTCTCTGTCCTAAGTGGGGAGGAAAGTTAAATGCATGGACTTGGGGGAACTTGTAGAAACGATCTACTCACATGCCAGATGGCGAAGAAGATCAAAGCAGCGCACAAGACCAGGGAGAGCATGTAGCAGAAGGCAGCAAACGTGAAGGCCATGACTGGATCAGGAGAAGAACCTCGTGGAAGCGGCGCGCCTCCCAGCCTACTTTTGGGAAGCCCAGAGATTCTCGAAGCAAGGCGCGAAGAGCTTCTTGTTTCCCAATGAAAGGGGAGCTCCAGACGAATTCACTTCACAAAACTGCCCTGATCGGAGCACAACGAAGTCCGGTGAGACGTACGGAAGGCTTTTGCCTTTCTCTCTTAAACACCTTCCGATAAGGCAGAAGCACATGAAAATAGGACACCTCAAGCACCTCCGCATCCAAATGGGTGACACTTCGAAACCACCCAAGAGGACGCGACAGTGAGAGAGAGAAGGGGGGAGGGATGATTCAGAAGGCAACCCAAAAACCAATTCTCCCCAATGGAAAACGAATGGACTCAGGAGTGGGGAGGTCCCGAGCACCCAATTTCTCTCAACCCGCCAGGGAATCTGAGCGACAAGGCGACCAGAGCGGCGGAAAACCGGTCCGTTCGTGGCTTTTATCTCCCGGAAGGAGCGCGCGCATTCTTGCTCATGGCAGGAGCCTCCGGCAGGAGAAAGGCACCGGTTCCCTTCCCACCTTTTCTCCTTCAGCAGAAGTTCCTTTGTTCGACATTCACGAAGCGAAGAGGTTCAGTGGCGTCATCCGCCCCCCCCCCCATTATCGCCTCCGCGACGGACCACGAGGGGAAAAAAGGGGGTGGTGGTGAGAGGGACGTCTTATCTTCCCCGCACCACCGGCAGCGGATGCCCGTCGGTTTGGCAAGAAAGCAAGGAAACCGATCCACCTGCTGCTCCCGGATGCCTCAACGCCTCTCCAAAGGAGCGGCTCCTCGCTTCCCACCTGCCGCGGCGCAAGTAGAGGACGCCGTGAAGTGGAGCCCGACCCTGGTCGGGTCCCCTCCAGGTGGGCGCCTCTTCTCGGAAGTCCGAAAGAAGCAACAAGGCGAGACTCCGCTTCTCGCTCTCTTCCAGAGGGGCGAAACTTAACTCGCGCCCGTTCTCTCTGGCACACGGCTAAGGAAATTGCGCCAGCCTAGATGGGCTTCTGAGCCAAGTTCTTGGTTTCTACCCACTCGAGGCCATCTGCCGCCGTCCCTCGGGGGGTGGGGGGAATCACAAGGGCGCGGTGGATTGAAACGATGTTTCACACATCCTTCTTGGCAGGCAAGAGAGAAGTGGGAACTTGCTTTGTTGAAGGCTGCTCTTTTCCTCCATGTAGTAGGCAAAATAATGTCAAGACCCACTAAGACTAAGGCTCGGGTGGAAGAAAACATCTTAACGTTTTATTTTACGGAAATTTTATTTTTCTATGTTTTTAGGACATTGGTTAGTGTTTTTTTAAAAAAACAGATGTTATTGTAGTGGATTGCCTTTGCTAAGTAAATTAATTCATGAAGAAAGCTCCATGGCACACCTTACTGATCATAGTGGACTTTGCATTGGGATTTTAAGAGCCAAGGTGGCGCAGTGGTTAAAAGCAGCACTGCAGGCTACTGCTAGATCAGCAGGTCAGCGGTTCAAATCTCACCCCTTCCGAGGTGGGTAAAATGAGGACCCAGAATGTTGGGGGCAATATGCTGACTCTCTGTAAACCGCTTAGAGAGACCTGAAAGGCCTATGAAGCGGTATATAAGGCTATTGCTATTGCTATTGCTATTTTAGTAAAAGTAGATTTTATTAAATTATTTACTATTTATTGATCTTGTTGCTAGCAATGTTTTGTTTTTTTTTAACTTTCAGAAATATAGTCATGGAAAAGGATCTGTCACACAGAATGCTCAACTGTGCTTGGATCCACCACATTCAATGTACATCTTGTCATCTAATGTTCATCTTTGGGCTTCCCAAAATACTGATGCCTTGAAATTCCTCCATTTTTTTCAGACTCGAAACAGATCTTCATTAATTTTTTTCTATATTTGCTTGTGCTTCTACAGAATCTATTTATCTTGGATTCAGACATAAATCTGATTTTTCAGCTCTGGCTGCATGGATTGTGAAGTTAGTGCTTATTGGACTTCCTCTCAAACAATCATCAAGATCCAAAAATTACAAGACTAAAGTTTTATATTATATAAATTATGCTCTAGAATTTAACATACCAGAACAATCAAATTGTGGCAGCAGTCAAAAATTAATTCTGTGTTGTTCACAAAAAAAATCCAGTTGTTTAGTTTGAGCTTAAATAGACTCTATTTCGTATAACCTTCTAGGTGCAGCAAACAAGCTACATAAATTTAAAACTAAATGAGATATACAATAGCAACAAATTATGGCAGAGGGACAAATTGTTATATAAGCTGAATTATGGTTTTGAATAGGACAAATTGTGCTGAAATCACCCTTCAGCTAATACTGCTGGCAAAACTAGAATATTGGCCTGAGTGGCAGTAAAAGTATTCAAGTTCTCTAGTCTTATTCTACTTGTTTACTCCTTACTAAAGTTATACTTTGGTTAATTTCCTCAATACTTAACTATTTAGCAATTAGATCTAAACCAGTATAGAGAAATCAAGTTCAGCCATTACATGGTATCACCTGATTTTAAGTTACCTCCTTCTAACAGCTTTGATCTCAAATAATCAAATTTGACAGCATTTTTGTCTAATAGAATAGAGTTCATCTGAATTCATTGAGAAGGTCAATTTATTAGTTAAGATGTATCCAACAAAAAGTAATGTTTTAAACAATGTTAATTACATCTTAACCAACTATATCACAGGTGTCAAACTCATGGCGTCAGCAGGAAGTTTCACGACTTTTTTCCCTTTGCAGAACTGGGGTGGTTTTGGTGCATGATGCATCTGGCCCATAGGCTGCCAATTTGATACTCCTGAACTATATCTTACTTTCATCTCCAATTGTGCTGGTCATTGATTGGATAAATATTATTGATTGATTCATTGGTAAAATCAACAAATTAATACTTACCCAGACAATTTTGTTTGCTGAAAACAGCATTATTAAACAACTCCAAATAGCAGGCTAAGTATTACAAATATGATGAACTTTAACAATTATCCTATTTTGTGGTAACTACCACAAAACCTAGAACTATGTATACAATACATAGAGTTCTTTTTGTTTCTTTATATCTGCAAACATCTTTACATCTTGTTTCATGCAAATTGACATAAATGTGCATTACACTACATTTGTAGTTCAAAAGAACTCTAATACAGCCTTCAAAGAAACAATCTTCATTCATACAGTGTTAAGTTACATCTCCATCAGTTCCTAAATAATAACCATCCACATTAATATGAATGAAAAACAGCAGCTGGGCTGTGGATAAACATTCTGTCTGGAAGTAAATCTATAGTACAACTAAAATATAATATATAGGTT